AGTTGCTTATTGCTCAAAATCAAAACGGTATTGCCAAGTAAGTTAAAAGACGACGAGCGCTGGTATATTATACTTACAAAGACTATGACTTCAACAGCATAATGTATGTATATACTAGCAATTTAAATAATAGACAATTTAGTACTTTAATTCATAATTTGTTGCATATGTATGCGGATCTTTATGATAAACATATAAAATGTCAGAAAAGTTATGGGAAATAAACGAAAAGTGGTTTATTGCTAGTTTTCGTATTCAAAGATTTTTCATTAATGAAAATGATACACAAAATAGACGGAATATGTCTAATCTGGTGCAAGTGCGTGAGAACTAAGTATTATTGCTAACTTTTGATCTCAAAGATTTTTCAAATGAAATGTATACAAAAATAGACGGAATAACGACGTCTAACTGCAAGGTGAGAAACCAGTGGTTTATTGCTAGCTTTTCAGACCAAAGATTTTTAAATGAAAATGTATGCTGCACAACAGAGTACGTCTAATGTGCAAATGGAGAACCCAGCCTGCATATGGATGCAACACCCAACACATCCGTACTCTTATTTTATGGGGTTTTACGACATGAAATTAAGTTGTAATGTAAAATTATACATACCTGTCTGTTACGATCCTTATAATGAAGTCTAGCCTATTAAATAAATATATAAATATCGGTTTTCAAATATATATGTAACCGTAATACATAACTCATAAATGTTAGAACTGGTTTACCTTGTACCATATACATTTATGTTAATGGCTGGTATTATGCCCCAAATAATTTTTGATAAATAATGCTGAGTTGAAATTTCACCGGATATAACCAGGTTCCGTTCCATGAACATAAACCCGACTTTCGTGAGATAACTGAATATGATAGATCATCAATCATTAATAAAATAAATTATAACAGAAAATTTATAAGAAAACTAAACAGTTGTTTTTGATATTGACGGATACAGACACCCTTTCTCGTAAGAGGAAGGTCGCCTGTAGCGACACAACCTTGTATAATTAACCATGGTTATTACATTTAATTTTTCCTAACATATACTCAAAGTTTATTTGATTAGTAGATTTGTGTTTGCCAATTAAATTGACAACGATCTTCTAGAACAAATAGCAGTAGAGACCATTTAAATGATTAAACTTGCAGTCCAAGGTATTTGTATTCATAAATGGTGCTTTAGGAGATGTGGTTTTAAGAAGAAATATAAATATATCTTTAATATACTGCTATACTAAAATTCAGCTTTATTATAAAGACAAAGTTTGCAATTATGTTTTAAAATGATTTACAAGTAACCGACGCAGCTGGCGAATACATTTAAGCCGAGTACTAATTTTCGACCATTTTGCAGCAATTAAATGTATATCAGCAATATTATTGAATTTTCATTCCAAAGCGTCCATCGTCCGGGCTTATCTGTAGACAAGCGACTGGTGTTAATTCGCACGATCTTGAGATCACACCACAAGCCCACGACGTGAGATTACCGCGCCACCTGAGCACGAGCAGCACGGTCCCTTCTGTTCTTCATTGTCGTCTCCTCGCCAAACAAAAATAATATCGGCTTGGGCAACAAAGACTGTGTGAACATTGTCTAAAAACACACTACATGGGAAATATGCATGCGTCCATATGTACACATGGCTAAGTATTCTACATACCATATACAAAGTATGTATGGCCACAAGTATATGATCGCAGAATACAAGAAAACAATGAAAACGAAGACAAATACTTGCCGGCATAGTCTGAGAGGTTAGGAAAGTTAACGTCTTTCAGATAACTTTCTCCCATATATTAAATCTGTTGCCATGGCGTCTCATATGCCAAAACTCTATTATTTTATATTAGTTTCGTAAATTTGTATGAGTCTCACCTACTTTGCTTAAATTTCCAATATGATCGGTATCCAAACACACACGCACATACACTGCCGGACGACGTAAAATGCGACTCATGTATGCGATATTTCCTTGCTAATTTGTCGCATTCACAGCAATGACTGATTTCGCGCTGCTGATGAACCTAACCGCAGCAGTGTATATTTTAAATTAAGTACGGAAATCTGAAATAATCAGGCAAAACATAGATACTTTATTTTGTATTTCTACTATTTTACAAATAACCAATGTTCTCAACAACCAAACTCATGCAAGAAATAACAACAATAATAACAAACATTCATAACGCCACAGCTGCGTGAGAATTTTTATGATGATAATAATAGCGCCGTATGCTGTGGTAGCTTGCAAAGGTTGGCAGCACAGTCAACACCATTTAAATAAAGCAGACAACGAGCGGCCATTATGGGGTGATTTACAGTTAGAAGGCCGAAAACAATTAAATTTTTCAGAAGAGATTCTGAGAAAACTTAAATTTATTGATCTAAAAGATTTATACACAGTATCTTTTAACTATATTTTAAGACTTAATACTAGTAAAAAATTTGTATGGAAAAGAGCTACAGCTGATCTCCGGGAGCTCCTCTCAAATAAAAGACGTTTTTGCGGTGACCACTATATCTCTGAACTGGATCATCTGAAAATAAAAAACCAAACAGATTTCGTTAAAGTAATGTTTAATCTAGTCATTAATGGCGGTTTCTCAATAAAAAAAAATCCATTTTTCACCGAGTTTGCAAACACCATTCTGAGAAAAACGCGTTTAAAGTTTGGACTGCACTTTACATGGGATAAAAAAAATGTTTTTTCTAACTTGCATGGATTCGTCTATTCCAGGCCCATATAATACTGCGTTTACATGCGTACTCTTTTGACCCTCATTATCGGCAAATTCTCTTTTAGTGTCGCTCTGTGCATTCACACGAGTAAAAAGTGTTCACTTTAAACTTTTGCAAATATTTGTGCGGTTCGGCTACGCGGCACTTAAGAATGTGTTGCATATTTCATTTGTATGTTGGGATGATGGTCTCACATTTGCTTGCAATGAATTACCATGAATGTGGTAGAACAATATGCATAATACCTACCCGCTTAATAGTTTCAAAGAAATACTTAAGTCGGGAATTCCTTAATCCACCAGAATGTACTGAATACCCGCTACTAATATTTTCAAGGCCAAATTTATAACAGGAATTTCCTAATCGTAAATTTTATTATTTTTTTCAATTCCCTATTTTTTTGTATTTATTATAAAACATCCTTGAATTAGTTACAATTCTTGTTTTAAATAAAACGATATTCGAACTAAATTCTTTTCGGTAAAAAAAAAAAATATGAAAGCATCTTATTATTTTATGTAAATATAAAATAGTAAAGTTTCCATTTTTATTAGAATTCTTTTATGTATTCTCGTATATTATTACATTTAATACCGCTATATGTTATAAAAAATGTAGATTGAATATTTCTGAGTAACTTAATTTTCTCCTTTTTTACAATTTTTCAAAATATTTCTGTTATTCTATTCATACATATTTGCATATCACATACAAAAAATAGATAACAGAATTCAACAATTTCTGAACGAATGGTATATATTCATTTGAAACCGAGCGCTCTTGCAACCATTCAAAGAATTTGAAAGTGTAAAGGAGTGCTGAAAGGGGTAGCAGCGAGCTGTTACGAACAAGAACACAGAGCGAGTACGAGTGGCACAACCCCTTCGTCTTTCCTCGTCGCCCCCTCGTCCACAAATAACCGGTTTGGGTTACAAAAGAGTCTGTGTATGACCTGGGACTAAGAGACCCTTCGCCGATTCGGCAGCTTTTAATAACTCGTGCTGATGTTGACTGCGAGCCATTCATCCATCTCGGGTGCTCTCACGCGTTCTACGAACGGAAGTGTTCACGCGCTGCTCATCTTTTTCGGCCTGTGAATGCGCATTAGGCCTAAGCCCCTATTGCCCTTCTACCATAAGATGCAGCCTTTAAAATTCCCCAGTACGTTTTGGAGTCACCGTCTGCGATGTAGTTTTTGTACATGACTCCAAGTTTTTCCAATGAATGTTGGAAAATTTCGACGACTAAATTAACTTCCATTTTCCCAGAAGAACCAGCATGATTTGCAAAGTTTTTCCGTGGCTGTTTTTTCACTGGAGTGAATATTATTTATTATCAAATCGTAAGTGGGCTGTGATATAAAGCTCGCATGTCCATTTTTTTTTGCACCTTTTAACCCTAATTCGAGGACTCTCATGGCAAATAAAAATCGTCGATTTATCTCATAATAGTGCGCGACAAAAGGACTATAATTTATGTAACGATCTGCACACTTATCACATAGCAAAAAAATTTTAAAAGCAAGGCCTCGTTCAGAAGCAGTTTGAAACTTGACATTTCCGTCACAGATCTTACATTTCACATATTCGGAAATTGCTGAAAATACTATTATAAAATTTAAAATGCGATACTCAACAGACGGATCCCGTGTAACAGAGATTACATGTTGTTCTTGAAATTTTTTCGCCGAGGCACTGAAACAACTTTCATCAGTTTCAGCTGTTTTTGGAATAAAAAACATTACATCATTTCTCTGGAAGACTTCATTTTCACGAAAAATTACACACAAAAAATAAAAACGAACTCACAAGTTTATTGCTTACCTTAGGTCCGTATACTGACTACGACTCTTAACGCTGCCCGACAAAAACTAAAAAATGAGATCGCAGAATACAAGAAAAAGCAATGAAAACGAAGCCAAATAATGGTCAAGTACAGTCTGCGAGGTTAAAAAGTGTTAACGGCTTTGCAGAATAACTTTTTCTCCCACTATTACAATCTGTTGCTAAGTGCGTCTCATATGCCAAAACTCTATTATTTTATATTAGTTTCGTATATTTGTATATGAGTCCACCTACTTTGCTTAAATTTCCAATATGATCG